GAATTGCAAGCCAAGCTGCACCAAGCACTAGGTCAACGCCTGCAACTGATAACAAGTATACAGGCAATGTTAATGAATGTCCTTGAACTTTGCCTACCAAGTCCGTAATCAGTCCTTCAGCAATCAGAGCATTCCCATTTCCCACTAACACTTTAAAATATGGAATAGATTCAATAGGAAGTTTCAAGTAATGAGCAATTCGAGGTTGTAAGAAGTTGTCAGAACTTTCACTATCTAGCGATATTTGCACCAACATACAATTGATTGACCCTTGAAACCTCATTGTACCCACTCTTGAGGATCCTTTAAGAGCATTATATGACAGATGATGCTCTTGTTTAGAGGGTAATTCTGCAGTATAAAAAGCATCAAGGGGATCCAGTTCTGGTGCATGATAATCTTCCGCTTCCACATGCAACCACAAGTACTACTTGTTTGGACATCTATGACTTGGAGAGAATTTCTCATCACAAATATAACACAATCCTTTGTCCCTAAAATGTGAGTTGGTTATTTTGATCTCACTCCTTTTCCTTTTTACATCTGCTGCCATCTGTCCAAGGTTGTCAACCCCTTCTTTTGCTCCCTTATGAATTCTCTTATTTTTCTCTTTTAATTTTTCATTTATGACACTATAACTTCCTCCAGATCCTCATACTGTCAACCATGATAATGGCTTTGACATTTAATATGAATCATGGTAAAAAGAAATCAGCCACACTATTGAGCTCTTCTGGCCAATTTAACCTTCTCACCATTGCCTTGCAGCAACTCTCAACCATATCTTAATCAACATGGTGACAATACTATTTTTTCTTAGGTACCCACATAATATTCTTGTTTGGCCCTCCAACAACACTCTTCCTCTTCATCATATATGTATAGCTTTGCCCACCAACACTACCTTTTCCTTCCACCTTGGTCCCAACAACAGTGGTTTTAACATCTTCTCAGGCACAATATTCTAAATTTGTCTCATGATTTCCTAGTTATTGTCAGCTCTGCTATATTTAGACACATTCACTATCATCCGCATGTCGCCTGTTCGTTATGAAACTCAGTCTTTTTTCCACTTCATGGCACAACATTATGAGTTTGTCTCATGATTTCCTATTTATTGTCAGCTCTTCTATATTTAGACACATTCACTATCATCAGCATGTCGCCTATTGTTGTGAAATTTAGTCTTTTTTCCATGTCTTGGACATTCTCGACCTCCGCAAACTGCACGAACCTGAATCTGCATCCATCCTTGTTCCATTTCTTCAGAATAAACAAATCTTCAACATTCCCATACCTTTGGAATATCTCCTATAGAGCTGGCACTCCATGATTCTCCGAAAAATTTGTAAAAAAAAATGTTGGTAACATTTGTACATGACTAACATAACTGTTAAATTTTACTTGAGATTTTTTGTGTTGAGTTGTCACAAGCGTCCACCCACTGTGAACCTCCATCTTTCTCACACCAGAGCACTCTCATTTGGTAGTACAATGCAAACCGCTCTTCTCCAGCACCCATCCTTCTTCTTTGATCTCAATGAGATTCTTAAGATTCACCTCTTTAATTCTCTTGCACCAAAATATGTCCCTATAAATTTTTTATTCTTAATTTAATGGATTCACTTATAATTTTTTTATTTTTAATAAAATTTAAAACAATGATAAATTATGTATTAAACAACATATATAAGAATGTTCGAGAAAATAACCTAACCTTCATGTTTAATCTACATGTGTAATGTACAAGATTCATCCAAAGATAAGGTTATAAATTTTTTGTTGAAGGTATACAAAAATTACTAACAATTTTTTAACAAAAAAAAATATTAATAATTATTTGAAATAAATGTTAATTTATTAAAAATAATTAAATATTGTGGATGAAAATGGAAAGTAAAGTAAGTTATTGCATCAAGTGAAGTTAAAGATAGGGTGAAAGGTCATTCTTTTAAAACTAGAGACTAGTTACATAGTCATTAAGAGAGTAAGTGAAAATCTCAATGATCATAGTATTTAATATTATAAATACCTTATAATTTTTAATAAAAAATTGTGATAAATTTTTTATCATATGCTATTAAATATATGTTAAAAGATTGTTTAAATAAAAATTTTGAATAAATCTTCACTTTAGTTTTTAAAATTTGCTATGTGATATCATCATAATAATAATAATTTATCAAATCAAATGACATATTAAATTTTACTATTGACACAAAAAACGTTATTTTTAAATTTCTAAAATATAGTTATTTTTATTCTGAGACTTTTAAAATTACTATGCTTTAACTTTCCTTCATTTTTTAGGAAGAATGTGTCATTCTTCCTTATCTATTTCCTCTTTTTCTTCTTTCTTCTACTTTCTTAATTTTCTTATTTTCTCCAACCCATTTGCATTTAGGATTAAAATTGAATATGTAAAATCGAAATTGAAGAAAGGAGTATGAGCATACTAGAGTGACATAACTATTGTGAATAGAATGTTGGAAGCATGTGAAAATTATTAGAATGTGCAGTATGAGTAGGGGTGAGCATGAATTTATTAAAAAACTAATATAGATTCATTTTGAATCCAATTATATGGATTAACTTTTAACAATCTTTTACCTTTTTTAAAACCGGTTAAAATGATTTTGAAATTTAGATTTGGTTTAAAATTGAATTTAAAATTGGTTCACAATCTTTTACCTTTTTTAAAACCGGTTAAAATGATTTTGAAATTTAGATTTGGTTTAAAATTGAATTTAAAATTGGTTCTAATTTTAAATCCGATTTTAGCCGAAACCGATTTTATTCTTATGAAAAAAACACCAAAATGTTACTCATAAATAAGCAACATAGAGCCTATAATCTCATAGTTCAATGGACATACATTGATAAACAACAAGTAAATTCACAAGCATATAATCTTTTTAAGTTAATTAGAGTATAGATAAGCATGAGTGAAATATTCTGCATGAAGTAATATAGGTATGATCTGCGAGGCAGAAAATGGCAAATTTTTAGCAAATCTTCCAATTGAAAAGTTTCAAAATTGTTTGTATTGAATTGAATCATTGATAAAGAAGCAATATCCCATTACTAGTAGTGAGCATAAACTATTTTTTGCAAAAGAATTTATCCTAAATATATGGTGATTAATCAAGTGAAGCACTACTAGTTTCCTAATTAAAAGGGAATATAAACATTAAAGACAAGTACCATGATTGTTCCAGTAGATGCAACTCTTGCTGTTGCATATTCTCCTATATAATAAGTGATCCTGAAACTCATGCACAAAGCTAGCCTTCACCGCATTCCCTTCAATTAAAAGCTCTTTGACCTATTTAATTAATGTGATATCAAAAATCATTTCATCTGAACTATAAAAGCTCAAGTATGATGTTGCGAGGAAGATGCCATGCTGGGAATCAGATTTAGGGTTCAAAGAAGAGGAAAGAAGAAACTTGATTTTATTAAATCAAATCTAGATTTGATAAATTAGATCTAAATCATATCTAGATTCTTTTTTTTCTATTGTAGATTAGACATCTAATTTCTTTAAAAATTTGGATTTTTAAATCCAATTAAGCTTGATTATGGATTTGGCTTTCAAATTCAAATTTTTTGCTCATCCTTAGATATGGGTGGTTGAATCAATAATTCTAACTTAATACAACTACCTCAACTTTCAACTCTACCCTTTATATTTCGCGCTTGTCCAAATCTAAATTCATTAAGGTTTGCAAGCACAACAATGAACTCACTTTTAATCCCTTTTGCAATGGTTGCTGAATTGAATAACAACGTCAAACTTACTTCTTCGTATCTTGATAAGGGGATTGATCAATGAATTGAGGAATCTCTAAATTGAAAATGCCAATGAAGATTTTAATGCCAAATATCTCAATGTATTTGCAAATTTAATTATTTCTTCGTATGTTGATGAAAGAGGTTTTGATGTCTTTGTTTGTTGATTTGAAGCTTTAGAATGAGTTGAACAACAAATTGAACATTAAAAAGGAAAAAATACAAATGAGTGAGAGAAAATTAGATAAATTGAAGAAGCAAAGGGCAAAAGAATAACATAATCTTTTCAAATAAGAAAATAAAGTAAAAAAATAATAATATTAGGACATAATAATGTTAAAAGTCAATAAAAATGAACTATTTTTTTTAAAAACACAATATCATTTTATGAAAAAAAGAACTTCAATATATAATTTAACGTGACAAATTATATTTTATTATTATATTCAATGTTTTTTTAATTATAACGACTAAAATATTTGATACTTTAAAAAAAAAAAATAATTGATACTTTTTAATGTAAAGAATTAATATTTAAAATTATAAATATAAAAAAGTAATTTGTATAAGGTAATAAATCTCAAACTAAATTAAAAGTTTATTTAAAAATTTTTGCTATATTCATACATATTTTTATTTATAATTATTTTTAAACAAATACTTTTTCTAGTTTTTTTTTAATTTCTAAGATACTTTATAATATAAAATATCATAAGATATTTTATAATTTTATGAAATATTTATTTATTTATTTATTATTTATTTATTTTAACAAACGAAGTTAATGAGAGTTTAAATTAAAACTTAGAAGAAAGATAAATATTGATATTGAATTTATATTAAATAATATTGAGAGATGATAAAATTTTTATAATATAATATTTTTAAAAAATTGGATAAAACAATCAACTTTGACTTTTTTAATGCATATAATTTAATTAAATATTTTTGTTATCCTAGATCCTAAAAAATTAAATTTCAACATCTAAAAATAGTATTTTATTAAAAATATTTTTATTATATTAAAATTATAAAAATATAATAAATATAATTTTAAAAATGAAATACTGCACCCGTGATTCCCACGCGAAGCATGGGACGTGCCGATGCAAACCGCACCGGCTTACCGCGTAAGAGTCTAACAACGGTGTAAGTTGTTGGGTCCCATCTTTTCCTCGGCCGAAACACGACAAAGGGAAATATAGGAGAAAAGTACCATGTCAACGTGTCCCAGCTTTCCTTTCACACGTGTGTACGATGAACCAAGCCAACAAGCCCCGCTCCCTCATCCCCCTTTCTATTCTATTCTCTTCCACCGCTTCATTTCTTCGAATCAAACTTCTCATCGCACGCCACAGGTATTGTTTTGTTAATCACTTGTTTGAGGTTGTGACTTGTGTCTTTGAGCTTAGCATGCTATGCTCCTTGCTTTGTCTATTGTTTATGTGAGTGACGTCACTGCTAAAATCTATGTTCACTTTGTTATGTTTGATTCGGTTAATGATGTTTTGGGTTGGTTCATTACTTGTTGCTGTATCTGTAATTGGTAATGGATTAGGATTCTTCATGCGATTCATTCTAGCAGTTTTAAACTCTGTTTTAGTTGACTGAAGCTAACTTAACATCGATTCTTAATATTGATTTTATGCCACTTATGATGCATTTGGATTACCGGCTTATTCAAATCTTTGATTTGTACAAGATACACTAAAAATTAAAATTACTATTTCACGTTTTCTGGACAAATCTTTAAAAAACAAAGAAATAAAATGAAAATAGGGTAGCAATTATATAATTAAAAGTGAAAGCAGAAAAAATAAAAAATATTTTATAAAACCAATTAGCTCCTCATTTTGGTGGATTATCTTGCTCATAATATTGTTTAAATGTCCAAATTGAGGAGAAACACACATTGACTTAAACCAATTGATTACTGATTTTACTAGGATTTCGTGCTTTCTAATATAATAGGTCTCCCATGCTAAGAAAAGTGAATAGTGTGTGTATTCTGTTAGTGTTTTTTGATTTCATATGTATCAACAAGTTGTCCTTATCATTAACACTGGGTCCTGTTTGCCATGTGGAGTGTTTATTGTACAAGAATATGACTTGATTGATTCTTATTTGCACAACCTGGAATACCTATTTACTGTTGTTAGTCATTGTTTTTGGGTAAGGTGTATTTGTTATTCTTGATTGACTCAATCAGTGTGTGAGTTTTAATCTAATGTCTTGCTAGTAATTATGTCAAGCATGTTATTGCAATTAATACTTTTACATGTATATACTTTAGGGACCTGTGAAATTCTGGCAAGGTTCTTGCATCATCACAATCTGTCGAATCTAGATATGGAAGAAAAATCTACAATCTCTCTTAAAATCAAGGCTGAGGATAAAAGACCAGGTGATAAGAAGGAAGACAAGACTGAGGTAGAAGTGAAGGTGAAGAACAAATCACTAGAGAAAGAGATTAAAGATAAGGATGAACATAAAGAAAACAATTTAGAAGCTAACAGTAGGGATCGTGAAGAGAAAAAACAGAAGGAGAAGGAGGAAAAGGACAAGAAGAAAAAGGAAAAGAAAGAAAAAGATGATAAAGGTAGCTCAAACAAGATGAAAGAGAAAAAAAAAGATGGGAAGGACAGTGAAGAGGAGACGAACAAGAAAGAAAAAGAGAAGAAAAAGGAAAAGAAGGGAAAAGATGAAGAAGTAGACACAGAGAACAAAAAGGAAGAAGACAATGAAGGAGAGGATGGTGATGACAAGGAGGAAAAGATGGATAAAAAGAAGAAAAAGGAAAAGGACAAGGATGAAAAAGTTAAAACAAAGAAGGGCAAGGGAAAAGAAGATGGAGGAGAGGATGGTGAAGAGAAGAAGCAAGAAAAGAAAAAGGAAAATTACAACAAGGATGAAGAACCATTGAAGGAAAAGGGAAAAGTGGATGATGGTGATGATCATGAAGAGAATAAGAAGAAGAATAAGGATAAGAAAGAAAAAGAGGAGGAGAAAAAACAGGAAAAGAATGACAAGGATGAGAAAATCAAGCTAGAGAAGGATGACATAAAAACTGTTGAAGGAGAAGATGGAGACGAGAAGAAGAAAAAGAAGGATAAGAAGAAAAGGGAGGAGGAGGATAAGGGGAAGGATTATGACAAAGATGGGATGAAAGTAACAAGAAGGAAAGAGAAGAAATCTGAAGAGATGGTGGATAAGGAACATGGCAAAAGTGAGGTTGCTTCAAGGGAAGTGGATGGACCAAAAAATGAGGACAAAGAGGTGGAAGATGAGCAAAAAGATGATGCAAAGGAAATCAAAGAGAAGAAGAACAAAGAAGACAAGGACAAAAGTGGAAAGAAGAGAAAACTAACTGGGAAGGACAAGTCCAAGGATCTCAACAAGTTGAAGCAAAAACTTGAAAAGATTAATGAAAAAATAGAAGCACTTCTTGAGCAAAAGGCAGACATAGAGAGACAGATCAAAGAAGCTGAAAAAGAAGGTAATGAAGTCATGGATAAGGCCAAGGATGTGGTATAGTAGCCGTTTAGTATATGCTTTAATAGATGGAAGACCATGTATAATTGTCTGAACTTGATAAATGGTTTTATGTGAGCAAACTTGTCTTTTTGATTGTGTTATAGATGATACTTTTGAGTGAGTTAGGACATGCATTTTGATGCTTCTCCATTGTGATTTCATTCTCAATCTCCCTACTTAGGGTAAAGGGTTGTAACCATGTCATTTCCTGTTCGGAGAACAAATCAAATCTTACAGGAAATCCATTTCTGCAAACTGAGTGCACTAATGGAATGCTATTTGAGAAGGTGAATGACGAATAATTAATTATCAAGAGAAGTTATTTAACCACTGGAAACTGCGTATTAACAAATGTAAATAATTAATAAGTCATGCTTTTATATTGACCTTTTGTAATTTTTCTTTTTGTATTCATTGGATGATGATTGAGTTGTAGTTAAATTATTCCGAGTGATTCAACTGAATCATATCTCACAGGCCACACATTATATTAGGGTAAAATTTATAGAAACATGTATTCATATTGCGTATAATTTTAAAATATAAAAATTAATGGATCGGTAATTAACTGCAAAATTAATGAAGACATTTCAAACACCATGTTAGTAATTTGTATTCTTGAAAAGCAGACATTATTTACTGCCCATATTGTAACATTTGAAGAAAAAAAAAAGGTTTTAAGATTGAAGTTGGTCATGTATCATGCATAGTAGTGGATTTTTTAAAGATAAGATATTTTTAACTGATTTTAATAAATATTATTGTTAAATTTGTTACACAAGTTATTATTTTAAAAATATTAAATAAATATTTGAAAAACCTATTATTCAAACACGTCCTGAATCAAAGAGATAAATTATTTTATAAGTCTTTAACATCAATTCTTTGGTCAAAATGATGCATAATTTTTTAACACTTTGTAACCATGAGTTTCTTAGTGACCCAAACGAACAAGTAAATCTCACATTTATTAGCTCCTATAAATATATGATAAACCCTAATAATTTTGAAAGAATGAATTATCCTCTTAATTTTACTAATAAGAGGATATAGTCTATAAGATTTCTTCAAATCAGTATGATGCAAGTAGATTGCCAAAATAGAGTCCATTTCACCGAATGCTCTTTTAAATTTGAGATATCTAATTAAGCGAAACTTGGTTGGCAAACCCCATGACTCAACTATAATCATATTACAAAGACTTTAGTTGCTAACAAAATCTTTTAAGATCTCTCTTTGAACATCACGAATAAGGCTAACACAAGTCATTTTCCTACAACAGATAGAGTTGTCCACATTTAATTTTAATATATTATTGGGAGGATAAGACCAAACAATGATAGCTTCAATAATTATAAACCACTTGTAGGAAAAATAAAATTAAAAATAATGTAGTTCATATAGCTTAGCATATAACGAATGACTATTAATTTCCACAATTTCTATTAAAGATCCAAGAATTTTTGTTGTTCCACAACATCTACATTGCATTTCCAAATAAAATATTTTAATGGTTAGATCCATTCATATTACAATATCAAAGATTATGATAAAGTCATTTATTGAATATCTTTGCTGAGAAAGGAGCTCCAACAACCTTGTTTAATCAATTCAAACAATACATTACTAGCTAAATAACAATTATCTCAAAATATGCATTTAATTTAAAGGGTCAAATTGCATATGAAACAATCTACCATAAATTACCTTGTAAAGGAAGGTTCTAATTTGTTCAAGGCTAGAACAACTCCAAATAAACTTAAAAACTTTATTTAGATTCTCCTCGTGATTTTCATTACCATGAATAAGCTTTATAAGTTATTTTAAATTAAAGAACGAATCCAATAAAAAAAATCTAATATATTATTTAATCTAGAAAGAAGAATTGTATAAATAACATCACAAAATTGTTTGGATAAAAAGCACTTAATTTTATTTTAATATCTTTCTATTGGAAACAAAACAAAGCCACATGAAACCTACTAATAATGTCAAGAATGTAATACTCTGTAGTGTTTTTAAGACTAGGAATACCAACCATCTAATAGTGTTTTCAAAATTTTATTTGATAACGCAAAGTTACAGTAATACCTTTCCATATATTAGAAACATTCTAAGTTTTAATAGGACAATTATCTTGACCAAACTTATATGTCACTCACAAAGACCTTAGTCTACAATTTATATGAAAAATTGATAAACTTCCAATCTAATTTTTCTGATTTATTAACTTAATGTAAATCCTTAAAATTGAGCTCTCCATTGTCTTTAGGAGAGCAAATTTTATTCTAGAAATCAAGTAATATTTCTTATGAGATGACAGAGACCCAAATGAAATTTTTACACATTTTATAAATATGTCCATAGATCCTAAAGGATAATATAGGTCTACGTTAATAAAAAAATATTAGCTTAGGTAAGAGTAACCATAACAATGAAAGAAAGGAAGTTGACTTTGTAGGAAGATAATTTCTTTCTTATTACTCCATATAAAATGATTCATTAGCTCTAGAATAGAAAACAGGAGACCTTGAATAAGACTCAATATTAACTATATGTTGGAAACTAAAAGCTTGATTCAACTATATGATATTTTGATAATTAATATTGTTAGAGAAAAAAAAAACCTTTGATTTATCCATATTAATGCTTTGACTAAAAGGATTACAACAATGTTGTAGCACTTTTTGAATGGCAACATTTTGTTGAATAGAAGCCTAAAAAATTAATATAATGTTAGTAACCAAAAAGGAAGATAAGACATTTAGGACCTTCTTAACAATGTCCGCAATTAACTTTATTAGTGGTTTAATCTCTCAAGTCATAATACAAAATGTTAAAGGTAGAGATAAAAAATGTTAAGAAACTCTCCATTCCAATTGAAACACTTAGTAATAGAAGAATTACTATAGTAATAAATAAAGTTAACAAAATGTTGGTCAATTTTTTTTTTTAAGTGTTTTTAAGATTAAGTTTATGATAGGATTTTTCTAATTCTAATTTAACTATCATAAAACCTTTATCACTTTTTTTAAAAAAAAATAATGCACCATTTTTTTGAAGAATAATAATATTGTTAAGACTTTACCTTTCAAGAAAAAAGCTACATTGATTTTCAAAAGGAACAAGGAAATTTTTATTATGTTAGCTAGATTATTAGTTAGAATTTTATAATGTTACAACGTGAGATAGGTATTAATTAATCCTTTATGAAAAATCAACTTTGGGAATTAAGGTAGAGAAATCCTTACAACTTATCCATCACTAGAAAGCTCATTCTTTGTACAATTCCAAGTCCCTCAAATTAGGAAAAGAACATGAACTTCTTAGATGAACCTAAGAGGGTTAGGAACATAGTATATTTTTTTTATAAAAAAAATTTATTTCATTTTTATTAGATCCTTGATGCATTTATTTTTATGGTTCAAAATATATTTAATTGCTTTATTTTCTTATTAAAGATGACAACTTGATGAAAGAATTTATTATTCTCATCTCCCAACATTATTTGTTTCTCCTTAAAATGATGAAAACAATATAATTCCTCTTGATCAATAAATATTTTAATAATCTTGCAAGAGATTTTTGATCCAATTTTGTAGAAAATTATTTTCTTTTAAAGCTAATTTTCTATGGATACCTTTGATAGTCATATTTTAATACATCTTTCTCTCTATGTTTTCGATTTAATTGAGTCTTTTTAATATATTATTTTGATGTGTTAGTTTAGATTTGTGTTGGTAAGTCATTTAGGATTTAAATTTAAATCTTTCTTAATTTCCGTCATAAATTCTTGTTTTGACACAGTTTCTTGAAAAGACCATATCTAGAGCTACACTACTCGGAATTGGACAAAATTGGTGTCCCTGGAAAGATAAGAGAGAGATCTACAACTTCTCTGTTGCGAGAAAAGCCCAGTTCGAACATCTTCAGGCCCGAAACTGCGTCACAATGTTGCGGTCCTGCAATGAATTTTTCAGAATTTGGTTTTATTGTTGACATTACTTAATAAGGGTTTTAGGAACCTCGTTAGGAAGCTGGGCCTTAATTAAGCCCAATTATTTTATCTTTAAATAGGGTTTATGATTTCGCGTGGGGATATTCTTCCCTCTTTTTTTGCCTTAATTTTGAGAATTTTAAATAAAAGCTTTCGTAAGGATTCCTCTCGTCTCCCTCTCTTTTATTTTCGGAAACTTCATCCCCTTCTCTAATTGGTCGAGCAACATGATTATGAAGCAAGGCTAATTCATCAACCGGTTTAAGGTTTCAAAAACTACATTGCATTCGAGTTTCAAAATAGGTTTTATCGAATTCCTCCTTCCCTTCCTCTTTTCTAATTAGGTTAATTATGTTTTTCATGATATGGAATTTTTGTTGCATCCTAAATAGAAAGAATAGGTTAATTTCAGATTTGAATTAATTGGATTCACCTAATTTAATCAATCAATTGTTCTAAATTTTGTTGAAGCATTGGGTTTGCGATTGCGGTTCTTGTTTTGATGGAATTCATAATCTAGATTTAGATTTTAGGGTTGTTGATGCGCATTGAATTAGTGTGATTGGAAATTCGTTGGGATTATATTTGTGTGAATGACGAGAATTGCATTGTAGGGATTGAGATCTTGAATTGGTTGAATTTCATAATCCTTAATTTTCATTTTTGTTATTTTGTCGTTTAAATTCAAAACAAATCCTCCCCCAATCTAATTTGAGATTGCATGATGGAACTAAAAATAAAATGCATTTTATCTCCTTGAGAGATGACCTAGGTTTGCTTCTTGTATTGCACAATTTTTGAGAAAATCTAGCTTGTTTGATACCATTGCGACGTGGTTATCAAAATGGTGCCGTTGCTGGGGACATAAGTCATTTTGTTTTTATTTCATCATTCTGTGATTGTGTGTTTTTGTGATTCACTCTTTTGCGTTTGCGTTTTCGTGTGCATTTTTGTTTGTGTTTTCGTGTGCATTTTTGTTTGTGTTTTGTGTGCATTTTTGTTTGCTTTTTCATGTGCATTTTCTTGGGCGTTTT